TGAAATAAAACTAAAAAATAGGTCAAATTGTAATGAACACAATATATTCTATTTTTAATTGGGATAATTTAATCTTTTAATAGATTCTGTTAATTCTATAACTAATAAATGGTCTAAGTATTGGACGCCTACGAATTTCTAGAGATCTGAATATAATTTACTAATGGATGTACTAACGAACATTGACGACATGAATTTAGGTGTTACGCACGTACAAACTTTAGAAGATTTGTATGTAATATTTCAAATGTCAAGAGATCTAAGTGATTAAGTAACAAATTTCAGAAGAATTGGTGAAATTTTTCCTAAAACAAAAGTAATTGTCAATATAATAATCATATTTGAATCTTACTGTAATTATGAATTAATTTGGTGAATTTGGATAAGATTTACTATACTATTCTAAGAAATCTAAAATTTGTAATTTTTACTTAAAAATTCTAAAAAGAATTCAAATTCTAAAATATTCAAATTCTAAAAATTTCAAGTACTACTTAAAAAAACATTACAATATATATTTTCACATAAACTATTAATACAATTTAGAAAATTTATTGTGATTGAATTATACTAATGTAACATAAATTAATTTAAAAAAAATTATATATACGATTATTTTTTATCTTAGAAATGGAAGAGTTAAACTTTTCAATAAAAAAGAAAATATGCATATGTATGCATTATGTTATCTTTATATATGAGATGAGTAATTTTAGATTGATGAAATTTTAAAAAGTTTTTTGAACACTTTATTGAAAATATAATGTTACATATTTTTTAAGGGTAATATGGTAAATCAGATTTTTTTATAGAAATAGATATTTATACATAGAGAATAGATAATTAAAATAGATGTTAGATATAATTTGAAAATTTAAATACATAAGCATATGATAATAATTTACATATTTAATTGTGAAATAATATAATGATTATTACAATTCTTTATAAGAGTAAAATAGAGATTCAAAAATTTTTCATGTTAAGGTACTTTTTTAATATTAAAATAATAAAATTAAAGTTTATCAAAATCTTAATTTAAACCTAATTTAATTAGGATAAAATAAATTAATTGACTAATTATGACCACCATTACTTTATACTTAAAACCAAACATTTCTTAACTCTCCTAGAGCGGCCCGGTGTAAAAGTGGTAGGACTAGCCTTTGCCAAACCTATGAGCTAATTTGCGAAAGAGCTATTCAAAAGCAAAGATGGAGCTTGAAATTTCTATTAAGGGAAATGAATAGTGATGTTATAATATATTCCTGTTTAATATGAATTATTCAATAAAATCGTTAATATTAATTTTAAAATTTAGAGAACATATTATATTCAACCTCACTCGATACATTATAAACACTATTTTTAATATAATGAATAAAATTAATTAAAACTAGTGGAATAATTAAGTGTGAAAATTATACCCATTCATCAATTAATCAATAGATTCAACTCAATTTTATTTCATAAACACCTGAGTACAATTAAAATATGGGTTATTCAATAAATTTGTTATATGTTAATTTATATAACATATTAAATTCAGCCTCACACGATACATTATAATCATTATTTTTCATCAATTAATCAATAATTTTAACTTAATTTTATTTTATAATCACTCAACTACAATTAAATTCTGTCATGCCCTTTGGCAAATGAGAGAGAGGGAGAATCTTTAAAATACATATTCTAAATAATTTTGAATCTTATTTGTTGTGTTTGAATATACTAAAAAATACATTTTAAAAAGTACTGAATGAGCCTCTAAATAAAGAGTAGGCACCTCAAAAGTTAATAAATTATACCTAAAATATGATATAATTATTGAAAAAAGTTATAAATAATATAATGAGTAATTTTACGTAGATTAAAGAAGTAAATTTAAAATATAATTATTGTCATTTATTTGATTATAGATTCTAATATTTATTGAAATTTATTATCCATTCAATTTTAATTATTCATTAAATTTATTTTTTAAATTCAAATAATATTTGTCGAACGCAATACTAAAATATTTTTTGTAAGGGTTGCATTTACGAAGTTTAGGTGGCACTTTTAAAGGTGTTTGCATGTGCTTTGGGACACGTATTGCTCAAGAAAAACTCCTATTTAATTTTGGTACATTACAAGCTTGCCAACAAGAAGACCAGTCCGTACAAATGTTCAAGATTGCACTAGATTTTTCTTTATGCTGGAATAAAGATAGGCCTAGAACATTCATGTAGTGGTCGGAAGTCTCTAACAACAATTCCGGTTTTGAAGAATTTGTCGCTTTTAAGTAGGGCAAAGGTATATTTTAAGTTAAAAAGACGGTGGAATAGTGATAAGCGTTCATTTGTTTAGCAGACGAATGTTAAAAGATATAAATGTTTTTTTTTTTTGAATTTTAATATGTTTGATTAGCATGAAAAGAAAAATGATAGAAAAAATAATTTTTTTTTATGTTTAAATTTTTTCACAAATAACTAACTTTTTTTTTTCTTGTAAAAAACACAAAAAAATGTAAGAAAGTTATGATTTATCTTTTTTTTTTTTTCACTTTATTTTTTATCATTTTTACTTTTTATCATTTTTTTCTTTTTAATCAAACAGACCCCTAAGAGACTCTGCGAGAATGCAAATGGGACAACTAAAATTTGAATATACTATTTTTATTGTGGGATTGTGATAAATTCATCACATAAACTTTGAGTGAAATTTTGATTTGACACGTCTCAAATAAAAAAAAATGATATTTGGGTGTGTTTGAACTTTTTTTTTATTGCGAAATAAAAACTTGAAAAGTAAAATAAAAAAAACATAATGAAAAAAAAAACTTTTTGGAATTATTTGGAATATTTTCAAAAAAATCAATTTTTCTTTAGAAGTCCTTGAACAAGTCTATTTTTTTAGTTTTTTACTTGATACTGATAAAATTTATTTTTGTCCAAAAATAAATACAAAAGTCCTACCATAAGCTCGGGTGCAAACATACCAAATTATTTTTCTCTAAAATAATAAAAAAAAAAACTGAAGTTTTAAAGCAGTCCCCAAGGCCCATTGTCACTCTATCACCTATGAGTTTGACAAAAAGAAAAAAAAAGTGAAGAAAATATAAAGTTATGCCTAAAATGTCTAAACTTTTTAAATAACAAAACAAAACGTCATACTAATATTATCAAAAAAATCCAAAATTGTCGTCCAAACATGTCTTTTTTTAACAACAACCACACAATTTACTTAAAACACCATCTTTGCCCATTTCCGATGAGAATATTATGGTACTGATTGATCTTTGGTTGAACGATACCAGTTGAATGGTGTTTTGAGTTAGTTGGTGTCGATGCAACAATGGTTAGGGTTGTGTCAATTTTATCTATTAAAATGAATCGGTATGTTACAAAATTAAAAATAATATGGTCAATTAATATATATAAAATTTTTAAAATTAAATAAAATTTTTATTAATATAAATACGACACGGATTAAAAAAATGTTGAATAGCAGCTGGGAATCGCAATTAGGGGAACTAACTGACTCGTCTCAAATATCGACGAAGACTGGTGACGTGCACCACCATAATCGGGCCGCTAAACACAGCCAGTTATCAACTGCCAAGTGTCGCCAAACTTCTCAACTACATCTTCCCAAGTATCTTTTCCTTTGTTTTTTTTACTCTTTCAGACAGATTTATCGGACCTACCTTTTTTTGTTTAATATATATATATATATATATTTTTTTTTAAAATTATTTAATAATTTCGGGATTTAGTACAATACAATTATTACTTGAATTAAAGATTAATTTGATCTAATATTAAAATTTATAATTAATTTAATAATTTTATTAAATTAAGTCTCTTTTTTGGCACCGTTAAAAAGTTTTTTTTTTTTGTTTTTAGAAAATTACACTATATTTCTTTTTTTACTTTTTTTAAAAAAAATATTGAAGCAAAAACAAAAGTTATTATTTATTTTTAATAAAAACAAATTCATTTAGACCAAATTACAACTTGAGTGGTTGTAATTTTGAGTGCAATACTGTAAGGGATTAAAATACATTAATATATTGATCAAAAAAGAAAAAATAATTAATATTAATACGGAACCCAATTTTCTTTTATGGTTTTGGTGGGGTTCCAATTTCATTGTTACGTGATATAATTGTTTAATAAAAAAATTAGAAAATAAATGAAATGGACTTCATTGTCCTAGATGTAGGTGATTACATGAGTGTTTAATTTTGCGATTGCACACAACGTGTTACGAGTAAAATTTATTTTGTAACGCACATGATCAGAGCGTTAATTACACGTGGCATCCAGAAAGATAAAATAAATTCTATTGTTTTACATGAAAATGAAAGTAGTTATATATTACGTAGGCGAGTGATAACTTAATTTTGTTGGACTCGTTTACTTATTAATGACCGGTAATACTGTGAGATTAATGTCTAACCGTTACATGCAATATTTTTTCCGTAACGTACATGCCCAGAGCTTCAATTACACGTGGCATCCAAAGAGAATGTCCACATTCATTTCCCCAAGACCTACTGGTTCTGAAATTCTCTCTAAAATATCAGCATAAATCTCGGTCCGCACGATATATATATACTCCTATTATTTCGCAATAAGAAGAGCTTAGGCGGCTGATAAACCAAGGGACGTGAAGTTCATGAAGTGTCAGTTCTGATTATTACTAGAGCAATTCTAAAGCCATTGAAGCTGTGACCTTTACAAAAAAAACAGCGGATTATTAACGAACTGCCAATAAATTGGTCGAGTGGAAAAAATAAATGGGACCCACATGGACCTATAGCTTAGAACTCAAGGTTCAGCAACAGTCTGTGAGAGGACAAGTTCACCGTCCAGTCAATTTAGCTTTATGCATATTTTAACCGGTAGTGGAGGTAGAGGCCGTACTTTTTAACCTAACCATGGTTAGGTTAAAATTTAACCACAGTTAGCAAAGCAGTTTATATTGAAGAGGGGATGGGCCTCTGCGGAACCAAGTCTGAACCGTGAAGGGCAAAAAGACAGAAGAAGAAATGATGATGATCGGAGAAACCACTCGTTCCAATCCAACGGTTCTGGTCCCTCCGTGGGACCACCTCATGGATGATCCAATGGCCAGTATCAACTCGGCCTACTCCGTTACGCCTAACGGCAATGCCATCAGTCCCGGAGGTGAGACAAACAACTACTGTCCCTTCGACGCCTTTACGGCTCTCCAACGTTACTTGCCGTCAAACATGAACAACAGCAACGGCGTTGTTGGCGCTGAGTCTGAATTCGGGAGTGATGACTTGGATGTTCCGGTGGACGCGTTCTCATGCGATAACTTCCGGATGTTCGAGTTCAAGGTTCGAAAGTGTCCACGTGGTAGGTCACATGACTGGACGGAGTGTCCTTACGCTCATCCCGGCGAGAAGGCTCGCCGGAGGGACCCACGTAAGTATCACTATTCCGGCACTGCATGTCCAGAGTTTCGAAAGGGTCAGTGTAAGAAGGGTGAGTCGTGTGAGTTCGCACACGGCGTGTTCGAGTGCTGGCTACACCCGGCTCGCTATCGTACGCAGCCTTGCAAGGATGGAACCCACTGTCGCCGCCGAGTCTGTTTCTTCGCTCACACGCCAGACCAGCTCCGTGTTCTGCCTCAGACTAGTCAAAAGAACTATGCTGAATCTTATGATGGGTCTCCAAGACGACTCGGTATTGACTCGTACGATGGCTCGCCGAGTCGAATAGACTCGTTTTTTTGCAATGGATCGTTTGGGTCGTCTTCGGTTTCGACTCTGTACTCTCCACCTGTTTCTCCGCCGTCGGATTCGCCGCCAATGTCTCCTTGTGCTGGTTCCCTGGGAATGAACTCGGTGGGTGGACTCACTGAGTCAATGCGTAGTCTGCAGATTGGGAAGGTGAGGATGAGTCCAACTTCTTGGGGCATCCAAAGGGGTTCTGGGATCTGTTCGCCCCGTAGTCCTTCCACGCTCCGACCGGGATTCCTGAGTCTACCCTCCACACCAACTCTACCACCAACTCACTCTGGAATCGGTGTGTTTGATCTTTGGGATAAAACATGTCAAGAAGAGCCTGTAATGGAGAGGGTGGAGTCTGGGAAGGACCTCCGCGCGAAGATATATGCAAAACTCAGCAAGGACAACGCACTGGACCGAGTTGACTCGGCAGGTCCTGGTCCTGATGTAGGGTGGGTCTCAGAACTCGTGAAATGATTATCCGGGACCGGGATCCATGTTCCTCAGCTTTGTTTCAATTTTTTTGTGACGACTGGTAAATTGGGTCGGTGGCGTTTGATTTTTCCTCCGACTTTGTTAATATTTTTACTAAAGATTTACCATGTATATTATATATTATATAGTAGATCGGATGGCAGAGATTAAGCATTAATCTCTATTTTGTGGTGTTTTTTTTTTCTAATTATCATTTTGAAGATGGAGGAGGAGGAGGAGGAGGAGGAGGAGACGAAAGTTGGAAATTGTGTTGATAGACCAGATGGATTTGTCACGGAGCTCTGCTGATGAATGGGGTGGGTAGCATTTGGAATTTTCTGAATTGTATTTCATCTTTTTTTATTTTTCAAGCTTAATTTTCTCTGTCAAAGTATATATGATCTCTTCTGTGTAATTTTCTACTTTTGTTGATGAATGTAATTATGTTCATATTTTATCTTTTGTTCTCTTTTATCAGATTCTTTAATAATTCATAGCACATAATGGGAAAGACGGAATGATAGAAGTCCACCTAAATGATTATCAGATTTTGATTTAGTGTTTCAACGGATGGAAATAGAAAAAAACCCAGAACGAAATAGAAAAGATACGTAACACAGTATACATGAGGATATAAATCTTAACATTCACAAGCATGTTGTTGGTTATGATATTGTAAATCTGGGAAGGGTGTTCATGTGTGTGTATGGACTGAGTTTTCAAATCAAGATGGGGAAGAAGAGGTTTATGTAAGGGGGGTAGAAGGATAAGTCTATTTAAGGATTGTTGAGATCCATGGTAGATCACAATCAAAATTCAACTGGGAAAATTCTTCCCAGTCTAATTTAGGTAAGGGTGTGACTATTTGAGGATTAGAGTGCATTCTGCCCCCCCTTGTATTTATGGTTTCCCTTAATGGTAGATTTCCATTTATCCAATCCATCTAATTATGGTATATTCGTTCTTCTCATACTTATTCATTCAGCTCTTTGAATTTATTATAGGGATAATTGTTTATTATCTCATATTTGATTCAAGTAATGGGTCGCATATTTATCCTATTTAATATTTTATTTTGATAAAATATTAAATGATGATATAAATATTAAATTATTAAAAAACTCTCAAAATAATTATATTTTAGAGATTTTAGAAGTAAAAATATTTTTCTGTCAAAATATACTCAATTGGACTATTTAAAGCCACACAATACGTAAATTTATTTAAGAGACTGTATGGGAGTTTAAAAATAATACTCATTTGGGCCCTGAATATTTATAACTTATATGGGGCACAAAGTGTATATCAAGATAAGGGAGTAAACGAGATAAGGTAGGTCCAAACGTTATCTGTTCAACATTCTCTTCTAATGCCTAAACTAAACACACCCTTGTGGTATAGAAAAAATAATATATTTTTTTTATTCCATTATGGTTTCTTAAAAAAAATATAATTGTTTTTGAATTATGTAATAATTTTTAATATACAATCGATAAAAGTTATAAATTGCCTTAAAATTTGTATTCAGTATATGATTTTTTTTCCCTTATGCAATAGACTTCTCTTAATACTAATGTATCACGTTCATTGAACATGAATAATTTTTGTATTTAAATAAAATTTTAAATATTAGATATATGTGTACATACATTAAATGTCGTATCAAGTTTATTAAAATTGACAAAATTGATATAATGAGAACTAAACTGACAAAATATGCATATTTTCATGGACTAAAAGTGCTATTAACCCTAAAATATAATATACTACTCTTTAATATATATATTTTAAAAAAATATTTAAATTTTAAAATTTAAGTTAAAAAAATTTTTTTACTTAAAAATAGACTATAATTTTCTTATATGAACTCTTAATAAAACGTGAAAAGTTTATTGTGACTGAAGAATTATGTTGATTTAACATAAAAAATTTAAAAAAATTACTTAAAATATATATTTTTTATCTTAAAAATGTAATGGTTGAATTTTTTGATATAAAAAATATATATATGCGAGCATAATGTTACTGTTCTAATTGAAATGAGTAATATTAGATTGATAAAATTTTTGAAAATTTTTTGAATGGTTTATTGAAAACTATAGTGATGTATATATTTTTTAGGGTTAATTGTAAATTACACCCTGAAAAGATAGTTAGAATCTCAAATTGCACCCTCAAAGATAAAACATTTCAATTTGCACCTTCAAAGATAGAAATTTGTATCAATGTGCACCTCCCAAGGATAAAAATATCAATTTACACCCTCAAAGATAGAAATTTGTATCAATGTGCACTTAAAATTAAATTGATAAATTATACCTAAATCTCCTCATGCTTGTCACCTAATCATTTGAACCCCTTCACATTTAGAATATTACTCTTACATCTTATGACGTTTGTGCACATGTAACACGTGATCTCTTTTCATTAATATCTGTTAATATAATCGTTAAAAAATATGATTTTATCCTAATAAAAAATTATAATTTCATATTATCTTTTATTTTGTGGATTCGATATACTATAAAGTTTAAAGTCAAACTTACCATTGGACATTATAATTTTTGATCTTTAGGGGTGCACATTGATACAAATTTCTATCTTTAAGGGTGTAAATTAAGATTTTTGATCTTTGGGGGAGCAATTTGAGATTCCAATTATCTTTCAGAGTGTAACTTGTAATTAACCCTATTTTTTAAGGGTAATGTAGTCAATTAATTTTTTTTATAGATACTGATATTATATCTAGTAAATAGAGAATTAAAAGAGATGTTAGAGATAATTTAGAGATTTAAATACATAATAAGTATATGATGGTAATTTAAATTTTCAACTACCGAAGAATAGTATGGTATTTTAAATTTTTTATAAAAGTAAAATACTGAATCAAAGTTTTTCATAGGAAGACAAAAGTTTTATTCTTTATTAGTAGTATATATATATATATATATTTTGGTTAATGTAAAATGTGTCAGTCAGGAGAATAAGAAGGTAAACTAAGCAAATGAAGGTAAACATTACGGCCGACCACAAGAAACAATGCTTTGTAGGCTTAATCTGTCTTTAATGACTTGGCCAAATCCCATGTGTTTTAACGTTAATGAAAGCAAAATTTGTAGCAAATTAATTTAAAAATATTGTATTTTGTTCTTAAAAGAAAATACTAAAAGTGATAAAATTCTCTCGAATAATGCTAGACAAAAAAAAAAAAAAACTAAATAATGTGATATTATTATAATAAAATTATTAATATTATTTTTATATATTTAATGCTATTTTTTAATTATAATAATATCACATTATTCAATTCAATATCTCCTTTTTTGTGAGTCTAGAATTTATCAATTCTTCTACGCAATTCTGGGAAACTCTGTGGTACAAAAAAAAAAAATTGATATTGTACCATCGATTACAAATTTTTATAATAAAATTACATATTTGAATGAAAAAGTTATAATTGTTCAAGAAAATGTTATGATCGATTACAGACCCTCGTGATTGATCATGAGTTTTCTTTGAAAATGTTATAACTTTTTAATTATGAGTTATAAATTGATCTTTAAAAATTATAATTTAAGTTTTGAAAGTTGTAATTTCGATATTGATTGTAATTTTTTATAATTAATCATACCTTTTAAAAATTATAATTTTATATTTTAAAAAAAATTTATGTCTTAACTTCAAAAAATTATAAATTTATTTATTTATTTTTGTAAAATATCGTCGGCGGCTCAATAACCTTTCCCGGCAATTCGAGTGTGGCCCACTGTACCAGCAAAGTGAATTAATAAATGCAACTTAACAATAAAAGTATATTATCTTTTTTTTTTCAAAATAATAAAAATATATTATATAAAGTCTAGTTTTATCCACTCCCTATGTTTAATGTATGAGATAATTATAGTGACGTGGACGTTGAACTGATAAAACCTGTCCTTATCTCTTACGGCCCTAAATCTAAATCCAAATCCAAATCCTAACTTATCACATCAACTTATTTAATTGAAATTCAAATATGTCACTGTCCTGAAGTGACAGCAGACGGTCAATGTTGTGCCACATCTTCCTGGGTCCCACTAAAAAAATTAAGCCATTGCTTATCGATTAGGGTATTTACTATGTCAACGAAAAATAAAATTTTAATTTAAAAATTATTTTAATTTTTTTTTATCTTAATAAATGTAAATCACCCATCTATAATCCACAAAATTTTATCTTAATATTTTTAGAATTAAATATATGAATAATTTTTTTATCATTTGTACATCACATATAGTGAATGATCGATCTTTAAATATTATTAAAAAGAAAATATCGGAGGAAATATCGTTCCATTAAAATGTTATACATGTGAAACGTTTTTTGTTTTATTGTTTGTTGTGCTATGAATGCTTAAAATTTCAATTTTTTATTAAAATTATTGTTTTTATGTGATATTATATAATATTTAGTCTTACGTCCATTACTCTCTTAAAAATATACACTTGTTTTCGTTGTCCGATCACATTTATGACATGTCCTTTAAAGAACAAAAATTACTTGTATTAGAGACCAGTTCCTAAAGGCATTTGACACTATAGTTAGATCGGCTAGATTTTGACAGTACATGGCTGGCTATAAAGTAGAGTAGAGAGAGGGAGACACAATGAAATTAAATAAGGTTGAATGATATTAAATAAGGTTGAAAAAGGCCGACAAACAAAGGGTGGTTCCAAGTTTTGGTTTACTTTAAGTCCTTGTTTCAACTATACAACCAAACCTCAAAAGTCGCAGCAGTGGGTGTCACTTGTTCTCTAGTGGGAAGTTCTCAAAAGCTGTGTGCTTATGTGTTTTTTTTTCTTTTTTATCTTTGGTCTCTTTTACATTTGAACGCAAAATTATAAACATACTTTTTCGGATTCTTCGAATTTGAACCAAAAGTTGGTACGCAGAAATCATGTCATCAAGATTTGATTTCATCATTTACTTAAGAGTCTAACGATTCTCGGTAAAGTTGACTTGGGTCAAAATTCACCATTTTGAGTTTTGACTCAAATTTGAAGGTTAATTTTACTATAATCGTAGTGTTCTTTAATTTATTGTCGGTTGATTTTGAATTAAATGTTCCAATATGATACAAGAGAGTCGGGCCTCGAGTGTAAAGAAAAATTGTATCACCATGTGCGACCCCGATTCTCTTGTGAGGAAAGTTGTAAAGAGAGATTGTATACTAGATAGAATAATGAAGAATAAATAAGGTTGGTTTTCGTGTTTGAAGGGTCTCTCCACCCATTCGACAATTAAATACTTTGTGCTTCTCTATGTGCCTTAGCATCCTCAGTGCCAAATCTAAATGCTTGATGTTTACGCAGTACACATACTTCTTCATTCATTCCATTGGTTGCTATATTATTACATAATTGGTTAGGTATGATTGTAACACCAACCAGATTCTAAGGACACCTACGTTTTCAGGTTGTAATAACATTTTCTATTCCATTTCTGTGTATTGCCAAATGACTTTAATATACCACTTGTATTGGTGTACCCCACCTATCTCTTGGTGCTCGTTGGTTTGAACCCACAATATCTATCGTGGGCCTGCACATTTTATTCTTGCCCCAAAAATATTTTTTATTATCAAATTATTAAATTTATCTCTTTTATACCCACTATATTAGTAATTAAGTAAACTCTGAAAACAAGGGAAAAAAACAATAAAGGACGAAATGAAGAAAACAAAGGAAGAAATCCATCGCCGAAAAAATAAAAAATGAAACAGATTCTAATTTCACAAACGACACAAGTTTGCCAAATTAAACAATTTTTTTATTGAAATAGTCTTTACTGTCACTTTTTAAAATAATTTAAATGCATATAAATACACACACACAAA